TGAAGCATTCCATCCTGGAGGGAGGTTCCTTAAGGCTTAGGAACTTATAAATTGAATAATTTTAAAAAGAGTTTATTTTTTTAAAAAATATTTATTTATTTTTTTTATGTGTATGAGTGTATTGCCTTCATATAAGTGCACCTGTATTGTATAATACCTACAGAGGTCAGAAGAGGGCATCAGATTCCCCTGGAACTGGAGTTAGGAATGATTTTTAGCCACCTTGTGGGTGCTGGGAATCAAATCCAGGTCCTCTGTAAGAGTAGCCAGTGCTCTTAACTGTTGAACCATCTCTCCAGCCTCAAAATTTTATTTATTTTATTTTTATTTTTTTGGTCTTTTTGAGACAGGGTCTCCCTGTCTGTCTTGGATTCACTGTGGAGACTAGACTGGCTTCAAACTCACAGAGATCCACCTGCTTCTGCCTCCCGAGTGCTGGGATTAAAGGCATGTGCCACCATGCCCTGCCTCAATTTTATTTTTAAAATTATTTATTTATTTATTTATTTATTTTTATGTGCATGAGTGTGTTGATTGCATGTACATAAGTGCACCTGTGTCATGCAGTGCCCACAGAGGTCAGAAGAGGTTGATGAATTACCTGGAATTGGAGTTATGGATGGCTGTTAGCAGCCATGTGGGTGCTGGGAATCAAACCCTGGTCCACTGGAAGAGCAGACAGTGCTCTTAACCACTGAGCCATCTCTCCAGCCCCATATTTTTTAATTTAATTTTATTTATTTTTTTATTTATTATTTTTATGTGTACGCATGTATCGCCTGCACGTAGGTAAGTGCACCCATGTCGTGCAGTGCCCACGGAGGACAGAGGAGGCCTTCGGATCCCCTGGAACTGGAGTTAGGGATAGTCGTCAGCTACCATGTGGGTGCTGGGATTTGAACCCGGGTCTTCTTCAACAACAACCAATGTTCTTGACTGCTGAGCCATCTCTCCAGCCAAAGGCCTCATAGTTTTAAATTATCTGTATGTAGCCAGGCATGGTAGTGCTGACCATTAATCCCAGCACTCAAGAGGCAGAGTCAGGCAGATCTCTGAGATCGAGGCAAGTCTGGTCTACGAGTTCTAGGCCAGCTCGGGCTACAAGGAGACCCTGTTTCAAGAGATCGAAACAGAACAAAATTTTATTTGCAGGTGCCTGTAGAAGCCATAAGAGGACGTCAGATCCCCTGAAATTGGAGTTATAGGCAATTGTGGGCCAAACAATATGGGTGCTGAGAATTGAACTCAGGTCCTCTGGAAGAGCAGGAAGTACTCTTAATGGTGAGCTCTCTCTCTAGCCCAGCAACTTCTGAATTGAAATATTCTCTCTAGGAAGGAAGGGAGAGGCTCATGAGACTAAGGAAGTAAACAACTCACAAACCTTAAGAAGTTCCTGAAACTAACAAGATTAAACATGGCCTTCCCAAGGTTGTGAAAATATTAAAACAATTGCTGGAGAGAGAGAAGAGGCAGAACTGCCTGGAGGAGGGTCTCAGACCTGTTGAGTGGCCTCAGAGTTGTGCAGAGAGCTCCAGGGATGCAACTTTCATGAGTTATCACCCAGGTTGGGTGGACTTCTTGGTAAAGACAATGCATGTCCCCTGCTCCTGTAACTCCTTACTTCTGGCAATCCCTGTTCCTGTAAGTTTCCCCAATAAATTAATTGTTTGCTAAGTTAGACTTTGGTGTGTAATTGTTAACTTTGGTCTGTTGTTGGTTCCCCATCATCTGGGGTGAATAGACATTTGTGTCATATCTCCCCAGGGAAAGTCTCACATAAGAGGCTCCTAGAACATGTTTTTTTCTTTTTTTTTTTTGTCTTTTTGAGACAGGGTCTTCCTGTAGCCCCAGCTGTCCTGGAACTTACCATGTAGACCAGGCTGGCCTTGAACTCACAGAGATCCGCCTGCCTCTGCCTCCTGAGTGCTGGGATTAAAGGCGTATGCCACCACACCCAGCCTTCAGTCTTTCTAAACAATCAAATTTATCCAATCAAATTTGACCAGGCTGGCCTTGAACTCACAGAGATCCGCCTGCCTCTGCCTCCCAAGTGCTGAGACTACAGGCGTGGGCCACCATGCCAGGCTTGTTTGTTTTTTTAAATGTGTGTGTATATTGCCTGCATGTATGTAAGTACACCCGTGTGGTGCAATACTGGTGGAGATCAGAAGGTGTTGGATACCCTGGAACTGGAGTTATGGATGGTTGTTAGCTGCCATGTGGGTGCTGGGAATCAAACCCAGGCCCTTTGCAAGAGCAGTCAGTGCTTTTAACCACTGAGCCATCTCTCCCCCTCCCCCCATGAAGAGTCATTTTATCAGTCTGATATGTGTTAAGCTCCTAACACCTCCTGATCATCCCTTCCTGTCTATACATTGACATATATTGTTAAAAATACTGTCTATTCAGCTAAGTAGTGAGAAAAGTATACTGTATTATTCTGGTGTTTTGTTATACAAGCAACACCAGAGAAATATGTTATAAGGCTGGATTTGACTGGTGATACACACCTTTAATCTAATATTGGAGAGGCAGAGGCAGGCTGATCTCTGTGAGTTTGAGGCCATCCTGACCTACATAGTAAGTTCCAGGCCAGCCAGGGCTACATACTGAAACCCTTTCTCAAACAAAACAAAACAACCAACACCATCAAAACCCTCATGAGTGCTGGAATTATAGGCATGATGGCACACACATTCAAGGACAGAGGCAGGCGGATCTCTGAGAGATGGAGGTCAGCCTGGTCTACATAGTAAGTTCAAGGACAGCTGTGGCTACAGGGAGACCCTGTCTCAAAAAGACCAAAAACCCAAACAAGTCTGGATTTAAAAGGTGTCATGTTCACCAAAAAACACAAAACATTTAAAAAGTTTCCTGGGAAACTTCCTGACTGCCTGGAGTTTTGTTTCTGAGATCTATGTGCACTTGCTTTTTTCTTTTCCCCTCTGTCTTTTCCTCATTCTGATGCTGGCCACTTACTCTCCAGAGGGAACACAAAAAGTTCTCTTGGGAAGCATTCTAAGTTTGTTCTCTTGTTCTTCTCTGAGACTCAGTTCTCCTGTCTGGCTTCTGGTTGTGGGGCAGAGTGATCTTCTCAAAGCTTTTATTGATGGTCCTTATTTCTTGTGTTCATGCCATGTGCTTGATTGGCTTTTTTGGTTCCCTTTTTTTCTATAGCGTGTAAGTGTTGCCTTAATTGAAAAGTTCTGAAACTCAACTGTAGCCTCAAGTCTTGGAGTTTTCCTTTTTTTTTCTTTTCTTTTTCAGCTCAACTAGCCTGGATTTGTTATGGAGACCAGGCTGGCCTCAACAAACAAAAGAGTTCCCCCTCCTCCCCCCCCCCCCCCCCCCCCCCCCCCGAGTGCTGGGATTAAAGGCGTGGGCTACCAGGCCTGGCACTTTTCCTTGGTTTATAAAGGCCCTGTGTACTTTCTTAGAAATTTGGGGTTGAATCAGGAGCTGTGTTGTAAGGTATGCTGCTCCTTCTGGGATTCTAGTTTGTTAGTTGTTTAAACAGTATGTAGCAGCCAGGCATGGTGGCACACGCTTTTTAATCCCAGCACTTGGGAGGCAGAGGCAGGCAGGTCTCTGTGAGTTTGAGGCCACCCTGGTCTACATAGTGAGTTCTAGGCCAGCTGGGGCCACAGGGAGACACTGTTTCAAAAAGACCAAAACAAAACAAAAAAAAATTGAAACAAAAAAACCCAGTATGTAGCAATTTGGATTGTATTTGCAAGGCATCATTTGTTGCCAGGGCTCAGAAGTGTAGGCCCTAGTTATTATCTTTTTCTCCTGTTATGTTTTTGTTTGACAGGATCTTAATGTAGCCTAGGCTGGCCTTGAGCTTTCTATATAGCAAAGGATGAGCTTGAACTCCTGATCCTCCTGCCACCGTGCCCAGGTCTTCTTCTTTGTTTTCTTCCCCTTTACTTTCCTTTCCCCCTTCCCCCTCATTGAGATGAGGTTCCTCTGTATAGCCCTTAGGCTGGCTATGTAGACCAGGCTGGCCTAGAACTTGAGGCATATTCTCCTGCCTCTCTCTGCTTCTTGAGTACAGAGATTACAAGTGTGTGCAGCTACACTCAGCTTCCCTTAATTTTTCAACTGAAAAATTCATGGAGAGATTTCCTTTGTCCATAGTCACATAGTAGCTTGGGCCTTATACCTTTTGCATCAGCTTCTTTTTTTTTTGTCTTTTTGAGACAGGGTCTCCCTTTAGTCCCATATGCCCTGGAACTTGCTATGTAGGGCATGTGTCACCACGCCTGGCCAGCTTCACTTTTGTATTTATCCGTAGCTTAATAAGTAGTGACTTGCTGTGAGTAAACACGTCTGAATGTGGGTTGACTGATAATATGGGTATGGTTAAAGTTCAGAAATTTCATCATTTTTCTGGACTAATAGACAAGTTTCTAGATAGATGGGACAGAATAGTGCAGAAATCTTTTAATTACTCAGAACATATATACACAGAGTCCCAATTTAAATCATTCTAAAATGAGGAAAAAGGATAGTCTGGCTGAAGCCAGGTGTGGTGGCAATGGGCCAGCTCTTAGGAGGCTCCTGTCATTTTTCATGCATTCCATTCTTATAACCTCTTTTCTGAACTCTAGTTTCTGACCTAAAAATTAAAAAATAATAAATAAATTACATTTATTTTCTGTCTGTGTATACACACATGTGGAAGTTTAGGGTAACTTGCAGGAGTCTGTTCTTTCCTTCCACCATATGGGATCTCTCCTTCTATGTGGGTGGGACCTGGGAATCAGATTGTCAGGCTTGGTAGCAGGTACCTAGACCTGCTGAACCATCTTGCTGGTTTTGCCTTTTTGTTTTGTTTTTAGAGACGGTCTCATGGAGCCTAGGCTGGTCTGAAACTTGATGTGTAGTTGAGGATTCAGTCTAACTCAGGGAACAAATGATAATTTTTGCCTACTTGTTTTTTGTTTGTAAAATATATTCTCATTTTACTAATTATTTTAACTTTGTTTGTCAAACAGGCTACCAAGCAGTTTCTTGAGGAGATCAACAAGTGGACAGTTCAGTACAATGTTTCTCCGCTCTCTTGGAATGTGGCTGTCAAGTTCCTCATGGCAAGGAAGTTTGATGTGCTTCGAGCAATTGAGCTGTTCCACTCCTACAGAGTATGTGACTGAGGGCTAGACAGACCTATAGTGGTTGGGCTAAATATTGCTATTCTTTCAGCTTTATTTCACACACATTGATTTTCTAGTTGTTCTCCTCCACTTCTGTTAAAATGGGTCAATGTCCAAGAACCCTTGAGAGCTGAGGTTGAACTGGGAAGTTCCTGGAAACACCACCTATGTGCCTAGTTTTACTGTAGATCAGCATATCCTATCTGTGCTGATTGAGGTTGAGAAAGGAGCCTGCCATCATCCTGGTGGCAAGCTAGTAGTTTACCGTTTCTTGAGTTTAGGGCCTTGCTTTCTTCACTGGGTCCTAACTGTTCCTTTACTCTACAGGTGTTGAGGGTCCCTTGAGGTTTTAGAAACCTGACATTCAGATGAATGTTGAGCTTAGGGAACCATTCAAGAAGGGGAGCTTTAGTCCTGGAAAAGAAAAGCATTGGTATTAGCTGAATCCAGGTCTTAATGGTGTCTTTATGCAAACACAGCTTCATCAACCTTTTACATTGCTTTTTTTTCTCTAAATGGATTTCTTATTGATTCTGTGTTTATGTCTGCTTTCTTAGTTTGTTGCATTCTTGATACAATGCTCTACATTATGTTAGTTTGTGGTCTGAAAAAAATCTGAAGAGAGTTTTTCTCTTCTAAAAAACAAAAATAAAAACAAAAAACTCCCGCAAAAACAACAAAAAACTTCTTCTTTAAAAATTACTATTTAGAAGGACAGAATAAACAATTATAAACATATTTTGATAGATAACACTAAGTTCTGTGGAAGCACATTTAGTTAGACTGGGAAGGAAGCATCCCTAAAAGAAATAACTTCTAACTGGATTTGGTGGCACATGCCTTTAATCCTAGCACTTGGAAGGTAAATGCAGGTGGATCACTGAGATCAGACTTGCCTGGTTGGTCTATATAACAAATTCCAGGCCAGCCTGTCTGCATAGTGAGACCCTGTCTCAGAAAAAGAAAAAGGAAAAAAAAAACAAACAACAAAAAAAACAGGGATCGGGGAGGGAGAAGAAGTATTTCTCACCTAAGATCTAAGGGATGAGTATTCCTATTGGAATACTGGTAAAGTATGATAAAGAGAGCAGTAAGTTCAAATGCTTGGTGGTAGAGAGAAAGAAATGTAGCTGAGCTAGAATGTTGAGCAGGGAGTCAGGGCATGGTTAAGAGATTGAGAGCAGAGATAAACAAAGGCAGATCAGAGCAAAGTACTTGCTGTTTTGAGAACCTTGAAATCTATAGACAGTATAAGCAATGGAATACATTTTTTTCATACTTCCTAGAAATATTTTTTCCTTAAGTATTTTTTGTGGAGTGGATCTCAAGGATTATTTTGGAGCCAGAAAGCTCAGTTTGATGATTGTTGTATTTACAAGGAGAGATAATTGCAGTATTATTAAGCATAATGCCAGAGGCGATGGAGAAAAGCGGACAGATTCTGTAATAAAAATGGGTTAAACTGCTGTGGGAGGAAAAAGGAGTCAAGTATTCCAGGGTTCTGACTTAAGTGTCAAGATCAATTCTGGTAGCATTTATTTTTTATTTATTATTTTTTTGGTCTTTTTGAGACAGGGTCTCTCTGTATCCTCAGCTGGCCTAGACCTTGCTATGTAGACCAGGCTGGCCTCGAACTCACAGCTGTGCCTCCCAAGAGCTGGGACTAAAGGTGTGTGCCACCATGCCTGGCCTGGTAGCATTTATTAATTTAGGAGACACTGAAGTAGAATGGGTTCAGGTATGAAAAAAAAGTTATGTGTTTAGTTTGCCTGTGTTATATTTGCAGTGCCTTTGTGCTCTCCAAATAGATATGTCCTATAAGTAGCTGGAATTTGAGTCTAGGGTTTAGAAAAGAAATCTGCACTAGAAATAGAGATTTCTGAGTTGCTAAACTCCAGCTGAATATTGGAGGTATCAGAGTTGATGATGCTGATAAGGTAGCTTTGGACAGGAATTCTGATAGCAGTTAGGTGTCCTGGAAGACCAAGTTATGTTATAAAGGAATTCATAATTCAGTTAGTTGATTTCTAATATCCCTTAACTCTGAGATTTGGTGGCTGCATGAAGTTGTCAATATTAATTCATCTCTCTGTGCTTCCATTTTAGGAAACAAGAAGGAAGGAAGGCATTGTGAAGTTAAAACCTCATGAAGAACCTCTGCGTTCTGAGATCCTTAGTGGAAAATTTACCATCTTAGTGAGTCTTTACAATCTACCTTGTGCTTTGTTACTTCCCTTTGTAGCTGTTGTCCTATTTGGGTTTTATTCCTAGGTACCCTATCTGTACCATTTGGTACTAAATTATACTAGTAATAATTAAATTATGTTTATTACAAGTTATTAGAGTTATTGATAATAGCTGAAAAATTGAGCTATGGAAAATCACTTGAACAGTAGATTTAGTAAAATTTTTTCTTTGGTTCATTAAGGTTAGTCTAAGGCCTTGGGAAGTATATGCAATGTATCATAACACATCCTTACTTATTTAATGGAAGTGCTCCACTTATTAGAGACTTCTTAGTCTCTCAGATAAATATGAAATAGTATGTTTAAGGTAGCATGGAAACCATTATCTTTTGTGTTTTTCTCTTCTTATATCTACCATCTGCCATTGTACCTGGGAAATTAGTTACAAAACCAGTGTAAAACCATCATTTGATTGCCCTGTAGTTGAAGAAAATATAATGTTTTTTTAAAACCACAAGAATATGGTTCAGGGGATATGAAGAGAATCAGGCATGGGGTGGTACTAACATGTTTCCCTTTATGGAGCAATAGGTGCAGATTAAAGAAGTGCTATTAGTAGCTGTTCTCAGTGTGTCAAATCTTTAGGATAATAAGCCTAAGAGATTATTGTGATTTCTTAAATTTGATTTTGAATATCTATTGGTTTATTGCTTTAGAATGTTCGAGACCCAACTGGAGCCTCCATTGCCCTCTTCACTGCTAGGTTGCATCACCCTCACAAGTCTGTTCAACATGTGGTACTTCAGGCCCTGTTTTACTTACTAGACAGAGCTGTGGATAGGTAAGCACTGAAATTATCTTACAGGTGTCTATATCAGATAGGAAAGTGACAGTTATTGAATTGATGAATTAAGAAGTACTTTCTTGCCAGGCGTGGTAGTGCACGCCTGTAGTCCCAACACTTGGGAGGCAGAAGCAGGAAGATCTCTGTGAGTTTGAGGCTAACCTGGGTCTACATAATGAGTTCCAGGCCAGCTGGGGCTACAGGGAGACCCTGTCTCAAAAAGACCAAAAAAAAGCTTTATTTTTCTTTTATGTGTATGAGTGCGTGTATTGCCTGCATGTGTATAAGTGCATCTGTGTTGTGGAATACCCACAAAACTCAGAAGAGGGCATTGAATTCCCTTGGAACTGGATTTACAGACAGTTGTTAGTTGCCATGTGAGTGCTGGGATTCGAACCTGGGTCTTCTGCAAGAACAGTCAGTGTTCTCAACCGCTGAGCCATCTCTCCAGCCCCATGCTTTATAATTCTAGGATAGACCCTGGACAGTCAATGAATAGGAAACAACTCCTATTTTTTTTTTTTGTCTTTTTCGAGACAGGGTCTCCGTGTAGCCCCAGCTGTCCTGGAACTCACTACGTAGACCAGGCCAGCCTTGAACTCATAGAGATCCACCTGCCTCTACCTCCCAAGTGCTGGGATTAAAGGTGTGTACCACCATGCCCAGCAACGACTCCTATTTTTAAGAGTATGCATGGTTCCATGTACCATCAGGATGCTGGATGTTCTTTGTTTGCATTACCTTGCCTCTATTTTAACAGAAGCTGAGAAAGCCAATTCATAACAGCTGTCAGTGTATTGAGAGTGACTTACTAAAAGGGAGTGAAGAGAAAAAGAACTGTGTTGGTACCTCCTTTTTTTTTTGGTAGTGAGTGTTGAATGTAGAGTTTCCACATGCTAAGGCAAGAGGTCTATCACTGAACGATTTCTGAAGAACTCTTTATTTACTTCCACCTTTGAGATACATTTGCCCAGGCTGGGCTTAAACTCTCTGTATAGTCCAGGCATGTTTTGAAGTTGGTATCCTTCTGCTTTAGCATCCCAAGTAGTAAGGATTATAGCCTGCATTACCAGACGTAACTCCTGTGTTGGTTCTTTTTGCCTATATCAAAACTCTTTGTGGTAACCTGGGGATATATACTGGTGGGGTACTTGGCCACCATATGTAAGGCCCTAAGTTCTGTCCTTAGTATTACAAAAACAAGGATAAAACAAGCCAGGGCTAGTGGTACATACCCATAATCCCAGCACTAAGTGCACAAAGACAAGAAGATCACCACAAATTTGAGGTTTGGATGGTCTACATAATGAGTTCCAGGCCAGCCAAAGCTACACAGTGAGAATCTATCTTGAAAAAAATTTAACCAAACCAAACAAACCTTTCTGGGAGCTGAGGAGTTCAGTGACACAAAGCTTGCCTAGGTTGCATATGCCCTGTGTTTAATCCCTAGTATAAACACACACACACACACACACACACATGCCCTGTGTTTAATCCCTAGTATACACACACACACACACACACACACACACACACACACACACACACACACACACAAATGTAAAATAATGGGCTTGGCGACTCGTGACACCTGTAATCCTAGCATTAGGCGGTGGGGGTAAGAGGCCAAGAGCCTGGGCTATGAAGCAAAACAAAACCCAACAGAAGCCTCTGGAGGGTCAGGCATACTGGTGCCTCAAGCCTGAGGCTGTAGAATCAGGTGTTTGAAGCCAGCTTCGAATACCTATCAAGTTTCAGGACAGACTTACATTTTTGAGATTGGGTTTCATATAGCCCATGCTGGCCTTGATTGTGGATTTACAGACTGAAAGCAGCTAAGAGATGTCTGAAGAGGGGCTCTCTGAATAGTTCACTAGTTACTAGTTACTGCCTTGTTTATGCTACTTTCATAGTATGTAGCTGTTGATGCTTAGTGGGAAATACATGCAAACCCCACACATACTGCTATTCTGTTGTGTTTTTTTTTTTTTTTTAATTATTTATTTCAGACAGGATCTCCCTGTAGCACCAACTGTCTTAGAACTCACTATATAGACCAGGCTGGCCTCAATCTCACAGAGATCTTCCTGCCTCTGCCTCCCAAGTGCTGGATTAAAGGTGTGCACCACTGTACCTGGCCAACAACTGTTGTTCTGAAAAGGTGAAGTTGCTGAGGAATGAGACTAGTAGTCTCAGTGGCCTTGTATACCTTAAGCAGAAGCATGTAATTTCTCAGCCCTTAAACTCACTGGCTGGTCCTTAGGGCTACTTTCCAGCATATGGATACTTTTAAAATGCTTCTTTAGTTGATGAGAGTGAATGAAATGCTCCTTTCTCAGAAAATCCAGTGTTGACCTTGGAAGTAGAAAGAGAATGCTATTATGTTCACTCATCTGTCATCTGTCTTTTTCAGTGATCCATAACCAATCTTGATTCTTTGATTGCCCTTCATGTACCTTCATGTGTAGTCCCTTTTGCCTCTGCCTGCTGAGTGCTGGGCTTTTTTTTTTTTTTTAAAAGAAAATTTATTTACTGAACCAGGGTATATTAGATATATAACTAACATTAAATTTACATATTTGAACTGAGTTTTGAAGTGTTTTCACACACACATACACACACAATTAGCAAGAATTAGAGATTTAAAAAAAAAGCTTAAATTGTTGGGGTTGGAGAAGATGGGTCAGTGGTTAAGTGCACTGGCTATTCTTGCAGAAGATCCTGGTTTGAATCCCAGCACCCACATGGCAACTAACAATCATCCATAACTCCAGTTCCAAGGGATCTGACACCCTCTTCTGTCCTCCGAGGACATTGCATGACACAGGTACACTTACGTACATTCAGACAATATACTCATACACATAAAATAAAACTAAATTTAAAAAAATTTAAATTTATTTATTTATTTATTTATTTATTTGTTTGTTTGTTTGTTTGTCTTAGACAGGGTCTTCCATAGCCCCAGCTGGTCTGGAACTCTATATAGACCAGGCTGGCCTCGATCTCACAGAGATCTGCCTGCCTCTGTCTCCTGAATACTGGGATTAAAGGTGTCCGATACCACATCTAGCAAGAATTAGAGATTTTTGAAATCTTAATTTTGGGGGCAGTACTTCTTAGATCTTATACAAAAGGTGTGAAGACATGAGGGCTTTCAGGAGATAATACAAAGAATGAGGATACAAAATAACTCTAAGCTGACTCATGCTTATAATACTAAGCAATCAGAAGGGTGAAGCAGGAGGATTGCCTTGAGTTTGAGACCAGCCTGAGTGACATACATAGTGCATTCAAAGCCAGCCTAGGCTACATGACACTGTCTCTCAAAAAAACTAAATGGCCTGGAGAGATGGCTCAGCAATTAAGAGCACTGGCTGCTCTTGCAGAAGACTCAGGCTTGGATCTCAGCACTCACATGGCTATAACCCTATAACTCCAGTTTCAGGGGATCTGACATCCTCTTCTGACCTTTGCAGGCATTACACAACAGGGGTGCACTTATATACAACAGGGGTACAATACACTCATGCACTTAAACATAATAAATAAAATATTAAAAAAAAACAAATGTAAAAACTCTTGTCTATAAATAGTCCAATCATATAATTTATTTCTTGGTAATAAATGTAAAAACTTGCTATTATAAGTAGTCCAATCAAATAATTTATTTTGGGGCCGACAAGATGGCTTCACAGGTAAAAAATACTTGCTGTGCAAACCTGATGACCTGAGCCTGATTCCTATATCTCATGATGGAAGGAAAGCAGGAGAGAAGTATTCTGATTTCTTCATACATGCTGTGGTGCCTGTGCATGAATACATACACACACATACACAATTATAACAGTGATTTATGTAAGTCAGAAGCATGTAAGCATGTTCTAACTTCCTTTGAATAAAACATTTGCATCGAATAACTTTTGTTTAATGACTGGTTTACAGCTTTGAAACTCAAAGGAATGGGCTGGTGTTTATCTATGACATGTGTGGTTCTAATTACGCCAACTTCGAGCTGGATCTTGGCAAGAAAGTCCTAAACCTGCTGAAGGTAAGGCTTTGGAAGGATCCTTTCAACTTCCTTTCTTTCTTTCTAGTCTTTGGGAAAATATTTGGAAGAGATACAAACTTCAGAGATTGTTCAATTTTATTATTACTATTATTATTATTATTATTATTATTATTATTTTTTGTCTTTTTGAGACAGGATCTCCCTGTAACCCCAGCTGGCCTATAACTCCATATGTAAACCAGGCTAGACTTGAACTCACAGAGAGCCGCCTGCCTCCCAATTGCTGGGATTAAAGGCGTGCGCTACTACACCTGGCATGAGATTGTTCAATTTTAAAGGTCACCTATAAATGATGACTAATGCCCATTTCCTCAGAACAAGAAATGATCTTAAAAGTCAAGTGGAAAAAAAAGCTAGGCATAGTGGCTCATACCAGTAATCCAGGCACTTGGATGGTTGAGTCAGGAGAAATGCCATGGGGTTGAGCCAGCCTGAGCTACATAGTGAATTCTACATTAGCCTCTGCTGCAGTGTAAGATTCAAACCAGCTTACAGTGAGATCCTTTCTCAAAAAAGCAAAAACAACCAAAACAATCAAAAGGAAAGAATTAACATATAAAGGCACAGTCAAATTCTTAGTCATAATATGTCCCTTTCCTAGAGTTTTGTGGAAGATTAAAGGCTAGCTATGTCAACTGAAAAATATTACTTAGCCAGTAACTTTATAGACATGTGTTGTACAAACCAGCCTGCAATGTGTTTACATTTCAATTTAGTACATACAAGCTATACATGTAGAATTATGTCCACACACATAAATGTTAAGTATTCATAGTCCCTTAGACCAAAGTCTTAGTCTAGAGGTTTGTTTTTTTAAATGCTTATGTATATGTGTATGCATGCATATGTTTGTGTATGTGCAAGTATACATTGTGTGTGTGCATATGAGGCCAAAAGACAACCTTAGTGTCATCCTTAGAAATGCTGTCTACCTCTTTGAGACAGGTCTCTCATTGTCCCGTTGTTCACCAATTAGGTTAGACCCGCTGGCCAATAAGCCCCAGAGATTGTCCTGTTTCTGTCTCCCAGCCCTGGGACTACAAGTGCACATCACCACACTTGGCAGTTTTACATGGGTCCTGAGTGTTGAATCAAGGTCCTTATGCTTGTGAAGCAGGCACATTTCAGACTAAGCTATCTCCTCGGTCCTAGAAGTATTTTTACTTTTTGTATTTTAAAAAATATTTTATTTACATTTATGTGTATGAGTGTTTCGCCTGCATATATGAAAGTGTGACCGTGTTGTGCATTGCCTATGGAGGTCAGAAGAAGGCATTAGATCCCCTGGCACTGGAGTTAAGGACAATTGTTAGCCACCATGTGGGTGCTGGGAATCAAACCCTGGTCCACTGGAAGAGCAGCCAGTGCTCTTAACCACTGAGCCATCTCTCCAGCCCCCTACCCCCACTTTTGAGACAGGGTCTCCCTGTCCTGGAACTCACTAAGTAGACCAGGTGGCCTTGTTCTCACAGAGATCACCAGTCTCTGTCTCTCAAGTGCTAGGATTAAAGGCATGTGCCGCTATACCTAACTTTTTATACTTTAAAGATTTATTTAAAAATAATTTTCTGTATATTGAGTATTTGCCTGCATGTGTATATGTGTGTTACATGTGTCTCTGTGGAGGCTAGAAGACAGCATTGGATACCCTAGAACTGGAATTAAAATAGGGTTGTGGGTGGGTGTGGTGGCTCATGCCTTTAATCCCAGCACTTTCGAGACAGAGGCAGGTGGATCTTTGTGAGTCTGAGGCCAGCCTTGTCTACATAGTGAGTTCCAGGACAGCTGGGGCTACAGGGAGACCGTGTCTCAAAAAAAAAAAAAAAAAAAAAAAATAGTGTTGTTAGCCACCATGTGGGTGCTGGGAACTGAACCTGGGTCCTCTTTAGTAGCAGCCAGTGCTCTTAACCTCAGAGCCATCTCTCCAGCCCCTACTTTTTTGTAATTTTAAAGATAATAAGGTAGGGCTGAGGATATAGTTCAGTTGATAGAGTGTTTGCTTATCATTGCATGAAGCTCTTAGTTTAATCCTAAGAACTGCATAAATTCAGATACAGTGACACATGCCTGTAATCCCTAGCACTTGGGAGGCGGAGATAGGAAGATCCAGAAACTCAAGGTCATCCTTAGCTACATAATGAGTTTGAGGCTAGCCTGGTATACATCAAACCCTTTCTCAGTCAGCAGTCAATCAATCAGTCAATCAATCGATCTCCTTGAAAATTAAAATTTGGATTCCAACATGATTTGACAGTTTTTCTTCCCAGAAGAATTGAAGGTAGGGACTTGAGACACATCTATACACAGTCTGCAGCAACATTATCAAACAGATAAAACACAGAAGCAAGATGTGGCACATTCGACAGACTGTTATAAAGCCTTTTTTCTGGACAGGTTCTCCCTGTAGCCCCAGCTGTCCTGGAACTCGCTATGTAGACCAGGCTGGCCTCAAACTCACAAAGATCCGCCTGCCTCTGCCTCCCAAATGCTGGGATTAAAGGCATGCGCCACCACGCCTGGCTAATAAAATATTTTTTTAAAGTCATTACATCATCTTCCTCAGAGCATAGGAAGAGAGCTAGGCATAGTCCATTTAAATAACTGTATATAGTGTCAGCACTTGGGAGATAGGGGCAAGAAGACTGAATTCAAAGCCAGTGAGGGCTATATTTAAGTTCACCCGTGTCGTGCAATGCCAGAAGAGGGTATTGGCTCCCCTGGAACTGGAGTTACAGGAGGTTGTTAGCCTCCATGTGGATGCTGGGAACTGAACCCGGGACCTCTGCAAGAGGAACCAGTGCTCTTAACCACTGAGCCATCTCTACAGCCCCTAACCTCAAACTTTTGGCAATCCTCCTGCCTCAGCCTCCTAAGTGCTGCTATTATGAGTGCACACCACCATACTTCACAATTGCCAAGCGCATGATCTCCCACTGAGCTATATTTCCAGCTCCTGAATATTTATTTTTATTTTACTTGTATTATTTATTTCATATCTAGTTTACATTATCTTTCTTTTACTTGTTGATCGATTGATTGACTGATTGACTGCTGACTGAGAAAGGGTTTGATGTATACCAGGCTAGCCTCAAACTCATTATGTAGCTAAGGATGACCTTGAGTTTCTGGATCTTCCTATCTCCGCCTCCCAAGTGCTAGGGATTACAGGCATGTGTCACTGTATCTGAATTTATGCAGTTCTTAGGATTAAACTAAGAGCTTCATGCAATGATAAGCAAACACTCTATCAACTGAACTATATCCTCAGCCCTACCTTATTATCTTTAAAATTACAAAAAAGTAGGGGCTGGAGAGATGGCTCTGAGGTTAAGAGCACTGGCTGCTACTAAAGAGGACCCAGGTTCAGTTCCCAGCACCCACATGGTGGCTAACA